GCTGGGGATTCGAACCCGCCACCTTAGGTGTACGTGGCTGGCGCCCTAGCCGGTTGAGCCATAGGCACCAAGCCCTGTTTTCCTTTTAGAACAGTGGTTTTCACATGCTGTGGGCTTCCAGGGTTCTGAGGAGCCCATTCATGGCATCCGCTTTACTTTGAATAGAGCAATTACACTTTTATTGTCTTATATACTAGGCTTCCAAATAAGGTATTCTTTTATTTGAATAAAAGATTCAGAATGTTTATTTTATATCATCTTAGCCTTTCAAGTTAAATTTTGCAGAGGGGCTAAAAGGCTTTAGCCACCATAACTAAAAAGTAGAATAACCTCAGGTAATGATCCTCCATTGGTCATAAATAAGGAAATTAGAATTAGTAAGAGAATAGAAGTGAATCCCTTTTGGTCTTAACATTTTAGAACTAAGTAGAATTTCTTATATTCAACAGACAATAAATACAAGTGATTATTGTTTTTATTTTGCCTACTGCTATACACAGGCAATATTTAATAAATAGGGAAATTATGCCGGTCTTCTTACAGAGGCTTCTCTTTTCAAAATATTAAGGAATAGCCAGAATGCAACAGTAAAATGAAGAATTCTGGCTCCTGTCCTGGGCTTTCACCTTCTGTTCTGAAGGTCATGGCTGTCTGCCTTTATATTGCATCGACCATGAAGCAGAAAGAAAAGAGAAAATGCAGAAATAGACCCTGTAGTTTGTTCATAATCCTCATAATTCTCCCTTTTCTGAGCATGACGAGGTGTAGAAGCTGCGATGATTTCCCTGTTTTCAAGGTTCACATATAAAAAGAACTAGTTTTTTGTTTTGTTTTAAATTTTGATCACCTCCCCCGCTTAGATTTCAGGTGGATCTTTTATGTAAAAACACTGTGTTCATGTAGTAACTGTTTCCATACAAATATATGAGGCTGACAAGCTCTCCCTTGCTGCTCTGCCAAACAACTCCATTTTTGGTAAATAGCAGAGACTTGCTTTGTAGCACTTCCACTTATTCTGAATTTCAATAACTTCTATTTGGCAAAACTAAGTATTTCTGACACACCCAGCAAAGCAGTTGGCTGGAAAGTAAATGCTTTCTCTGGCAACTGGAAAGGCTGATTTTATTTTCAGTGCTCTTCGTGCAAGTCAATGTCAGCAGCTTGTTAGACTACTCACTGCTCTGAGGCACAGGCTGGTGGAAAAGCCAAGAACCCCTAAAGGTCAAGACATATGCTATGAGAAGCTTCTGCTGAGCAGAATGGGAAGCAGGTGAAGCTGTGTTCTTCCTGTGGTTCCTCACATGACTGCTCCTTAATTTTCTGTAAAACAGTCCTAGTACTAACTGATGTGAACCAGCACAAGATCTATATTTGTTAACCACTGCTAATACATACAAACAAAAATTAGACCCAGACATCTTCTCAGAGTCTACTAGGAACACAACATTTTTTGCCTGGCTCAGTAATATTGGGGTGAAAAGAAACCACAAGATTTATTGAATCCACTCCCTGCCTTAAGGCACAGTTATAGCTGAGTATTTTTGAAATTTTAGATTTAGACAACTACTTTTCTTGTTCCACAAAATCACTTTAAGTTTAGTAATTATCTATCTGTGTTGTAGTAGGTCTCAGAAATTCCCAATAAAAGCTGCGTATGGCTACTACAACCAGGCAGAAGAGGGTGCCTCTTCCAAACTGATAGGCAGCATGCAGGCCAAGCCAGCTTCTTACCTCCAGCTCCCTAAAGCATCATCAAATTAAAGCAGACCTGGCAGTTAAAGGCAACAGGTTATCTGTTCTTTCTGCCACTTTCAGGCCCTTCTCTGGAAAGTGTGGGTCTTTGGCTACCTTTTTGGGATCCTATGCAGTTCGTACTGCTGTTTTCTAAGTGTGGACATCTCCTTGCTCATTGCTTTCTAAAGGAAGTGCAGTAAGATAGTTAAAGGGTGCACGACCCTTCTACCTCCTCTAACCTCCCATATTCAGTACTTTACAATCCTAGCATTTTAGTCTTTGCTTTTGGATATTTTATTTCCACCTCTGGTTTTCATTTCATGCCTTCCTGATAAAGAGTCATTTTTACTTCAGTTCAGCTTGTGAAATTCTTAGTCCCCAGGCATTCTAGAGGGCAACAACTCAATAGGTTTCCTGTTAACTCAGGAATAACCTAAACCAGCACTTGCTTTAGCTTTCAGCTGCAGGGTTTGTTTCACTGGTGATGAGCTTCTTACCTCCAGCTCCCTAAAGCATCATCAAATTAAAGCAGGCTGGAAGTTAAAGGCAATAGTTTATTTGTTCTTTCTGCCACTAATGTTCTTTATTTCTAGGTCAAAAGAGAGTAGTAGCTTGGGGAAACATCATATGTAGCATATGTTGTTTCCCCAAGCTACACAGAGTCTTTGCTTTGGGACTCAATCCTCTGTTCTAGCACCATTTTTGCTCTTGATGTGTTACATGACCTAAGCAAAGTACTTATTTCTCTAGGCCTAATTTGCTACCTCTTTGGATTAGGTTTAATGGCATCTTGCTTGTTTCTGAGAGGTGATATATAGATAAATTAATCTGAAATGTAATGAACAAGACAAGAGAACTGTCTAGGACTAGCCCTATGGCACTGTTTTATACTTTTCTATTAAGAAATAAGAAGATGGTAATCTTACATATCAATTATTAGGATTTAGATGATAAGGAATTGTTCACTGAACTGTCAGTTTTCAATTTTTAGTTAAATACTGATGGAACCTTAAAATCAAATTAGAATCCAAGACGCTTCTATTATCACTGCCTCTGAGTGGGCCTGATCTCGAGTCTGTCTGACTTCTTGCCCCTTAGCTCCCTAGTCTAGTTTGCCTCCTTATATCAACCCCTGGCTCCCATCTTTTTCTTCTTTTTCTCCCTTACCTGAGCCATCTTCTCAAGCTTGGCTTTTATGTCTGTTAGTTCTAGTTGGGCCTCTTGAAGTTTTGTTTTCAGTTTTTGGTTTTCGGTCAGGGCACTCTCATAGAGCTGGGGGAAGGAAAAAAAAAAAGAATCAGGTCACCCACTAGGTGGGGCTTCTAGAATGAGAACTCACACGGGTTTATCACAGGAATGCCTAGGGCTCTGTACTCCAAGCCACCACTGTGTGATAGTTAGAAAAGTTGAAAGAAGTCTAGAGAGCAGAAAATATTCAGCTTTTTAAAGGTGATAAATGCAAAGACAATGATGATATTTCAACTTCAATAATGTTACTCTCTAGGGGAAAAACAGTCATTTTATTTTCTCTTATGGGACATTCACATTGCTTGAAAGTGTTTTACCTCTCCATACAAAAGGGAATTATTATTATTATTTTGGCACCAGACTGGCATGTATATTGATTTTAGTCAAGTTCTGCTTAACAACCTATTAAGAAAACAAATATTTTCTTAACAAAAATATTTTCTCCTGGTATCTCAAGCACCTGAAGGGGAAGTTTGTAAATCTATTCCTAGAACTAGGTATTCTTTCGTAAGAACGAAAGAAATGAACTATAAAGTGATTTAAACCCTCTCCAAACTCAAATGATGGTTTTGTTTGTTTGTTTTACTAACACCAAGTAGTATTTAGTTGATAGTCACAAGACGTTATCAGAAGCATGTTTGTTAAAAACAACTGAGTATACCAAATGATTCTTAGGGGCTCTGACAGATAGCATTAAATTTTTTACCCTTCCTACAATTATTGTTTACTTTTCCCTACACCTTTAAATATTTGAATCTAGCCATAGATTTACTGCACTAAAAACAATTTATGAAGGGGTCTTTATTTAGCTGGTTGGAGAGGTGAAGCAAACCCAGAAACCTGCGATGAATTGTTACGTAAGCATCCTTTCTGCTGCTTCCTCTTCTGCTTATACTAATTTTTCTACACGGAGGGAAAAAGCTGAGAGGTTTACATGTCACACAAGAAGAGAAAAAACTTAAAAAGACCCTACTTTTTTATAATCCCTGTTGCTGTCCTCTTCTACACGGCTGGTCAGGGTGGCTAGACGGGCCTCCCGGGCCTCCCGACGGGCTCTTGCTGAAGCCCGGTCACTGTAAGTATCGCTGGTTGTAGGGCTACTACCTCCAGATTCCAACCTATGGGAGATAGTATTAAAGGCAAACACTGGTTTCAGAACAAAGTAGTTGGGGGAGGGTAATACTTCAGGGTACACTTTGACCTTTCTAAGAAGTATTTGAGAGCCCTGGCCAGAAACAATCCACAACATTCCTTCCTTGAATCTCACTGCCAGCATTCAGAGATGTCAGGGCTAAACTGCATGAGCTTGGGGAGGAAGAAGGCAGCCTAGCATTTGCCAAGAATGAAGCTCATTTGAAAAACTAGTGGTTTGAACCCAAGTCTTAGAGCTTTTCAAATTACTTTAGGGTTGAAAAACTTCCCTCATGAGTATGCTTTCAAAAGTAAGCTTCTTGGATTTTAGTGGCTCCTGGAAAATGATTATAATGAACTGTCAATGAATCAGAAACATTTGGTCTTAAGAGATCTGAGCTTGAGTTTGAACAGGGTGGAATGGCATGTATGGGACATGGCATGTATGCCTTTTGGGTACACTACAGGTTTGCTGGAACCCAAACGTTTCATGTTTATTAAAAATAAGAGTCTAAGGCGCCAGCCACATACACCTAAGGTGGAAGGTTCAAATCCAGCCCAGGCCCGCCAAACAACTATGACGGCTGCAACCAAAAAATAGCTGGGCATTGTGGTGGGCACCTGTGGTCCCAGCTACTTGGGAGGCTGAAGCAGGAGACTCGCTTGAGCCTAGGAGTTAGAGGGTGCTGTGAGCGTGATGCCATGGCCCCCTTCCCCGGGGGGTTGCTTGGGGCCCCGTTTCAAAAAAAAAAAAAAAAGAGTCTGCTGGGTAGTGCCTGGTGGCTCAGTGGGTAGGGCACCGGCCCCTGAGGGTGGCGGATTCAAACCCGTCCCGGCCAAACTGCAACAAAAAAATAGCTGGCCACCTGCAGTCCCAGCTACTGGGGACTGAGGCCAGAGAATCATCTAAGCCCAGGAGTTGGAGGTTGCTGTGAGCTGTGTGATGCCACAGCACTCTACCAAGGGCAATAAAGTGAGACTGTCTCTACAGAAAAAAAAAAAAAGAATCTGCGAATCTGCCAAATGATTCTGTGTTGGGGTATCAACACAACATCCAACTAGTTTCCTACTCTGTGATTAGAATTTCTGCATCTTCTAGCAATAAAGCAATAGAACGGATGGTGGTTTCTTTCCAGCATTGGTAAGTTCATCAGTGGAAGGGTCTCTTAGCTGTTTGTCTGTTTGTGTACAACTATAGCCTTAATCCTTAAACGCTGATTTATATTTTTTCTTAGGCTTTGCTATTTCCAAACTAAAACCTGCCGCATATAAAACTGCTATGTATAAACCAGCCCTGCAGAGTCTACAGCTCAAAGTGGGATGAAAAGTCACAGCTGTGGAACTTGCCTTTCATGTCCCCATCCTGGGTAGTTATTGCCATAACTGGGTGTGGGGGAGCTCAGTACTAGATGAGGTAGAGGAGCATCAGGAAGACACAGGGAAAGGCTAGGCTAAGCAAATAGCTCCTAATGATGCTAACGGCCACTGTTCACTTAAGAGTCCCACATTCTTCACAACATTCTTTTTCTTTTTTTGGGTGTTGATAGAAATCTCTTTATTGACTTTCTTTTTTTTTTTTTTTTTTATCTTCTTACCCTCTTAAAAATTTTTTTTTAGCAGTAGATACATGCTATCATACAGACCTTTTTCAGTTTTTGGCTCAGGCTGGGTTTGAACCCACCACCACTGGTATATGGGGCTGGCGCCCTACTCCTTTGAACCACAGGTGTCACCCTGAA